TTCTCTTTTAGAAACAAGCACTGCAAGATAAAGAGAAAAGTAATGAGGGACATCTGGACAAGGGAGGCGATCACAGGACTCTGAAGACCATAAGAGCCTAAGATGAGAATATTCCTGACACATAAAGAAATATACACTTAAAGAAACTTTCTTGAAACATTTGTAATTTGGGACATTGGACTGAGAGTGTCATTGTTGGCTTTATGAATAGGACTTGTCTAATGCCTATGAAATTCCTGGCTTATTTGCTACGAAAGCCTATGGGAATCTTGGTTTGTTTGCTACTAAGACCACTAGCTGGTAACTTTTAAAAGATATATGTGAAAGAGTTTTCTTTGTCTTGCCCCTTCAAAAATGGTATAAAAGCTCTGTATTAACTAGCATTAAATTGTCATCTGTTCAAGAAGTAGGTGTCCAGTATATGATCATCGTTCGCCTATCTGTCTCTCCTTCAACACTTCCCACGACCCTCGTGGGGTGGGCCCCCACAAGCACTGAAGTCATTGGCTATTGTTAGGTTAAAATCCCAGTGGGGCTTCCTAAATGTTAGGTAGGGGAGTCTGTGATCTGGTGTGTGAAAGATACAACGAATTGCAAAGCAATTAGACTGGAAAATATAGTTTACTTAGAAAATAAGTTGGAAAGAGAGAGAGGAGATTCACCTCCCAAAGGTACGGGAGGGGGACAAAGAGCCACATGGCCAGATCAGAGCTTAGCAAAGCAATGGCCAATGGCTGCTTGAGGTTGAATGCTTTTAAACCTTTCCTTTGATGAGGGCAGGTCATTAAGGTGATTGGGTGGTGGTCTTTTTTTTACCTCATCACAAAGGAGACGGGTAAGCACAGGTCCTGACAACAGGTGATGGACTGCAGGCAGATGGGTGGATTAGTCATGCGCCTGCTGCCATGGTGATTATGTTAACTTGGAATAGAAAAGCTAATTGATACAAAACAAGCTGGGGAGGAGGTTGTTAGAAAATTATCAATAGCTACCTCTGAGAAACTGGTTCTGTCCTTGGCTAGTGATTAGAGAGTAATTTAAAGTGAACTGGTAGATAAAGATGACAAAGTGAAGCAATGTTAAAATGGCTTCTCTTTGAGCCCTTTCAGCCATAAAATAAACAAATGTTTAAAAATTAATGATCTGGTGACAGAGTGAGACTCCAACTCAAAATAGATAGAAAGATAAAAGCTGAGCATGTTTGTAGCTGGTAGATCTACCCTACAAAAAAAAAATTAATGATCTACGTATCCTCTTCTGTGAATTAAGGAAAGAAAGAACAGCAAAGTAAATAGAAATGAAGTAGAAAGAATAAACAGATTAAATATTAGAGGATAAATAAATAAAACATAAAACAAACTTCTAAAAGTCTGGTAAAAGGTGAAATAAACCAAAATATTTATATCTAAAATGCAGAGAATTGTTGAGCTAAAGAAGGTTAGATTGCAAGGGGGTCTCATTCCTCTCTCTCCATCTCAATTTCCCTAATAACAGGGTAGCAATTCATAATAACAAAAGGTCTTCTTGTCCCCCTTGCTGCCTAAAGACAGAAACATTAAGTCATATATTTATTAGAGACAACTGGCACCATTGAGGCTAGGGGAATCTGGAGTAAATCTTACTGCCTTCCCATAGTTTTTCCACTTTTGAGAGACTCCCTTTATTGCCATTACTTAAGGTTTATGGCTTTTTGTGAAAATTCAGTTTAAGGCAGAGCTTCAAGCTACTGTCTTGGGAGAGATACCTTTGAACTCAGGCTCCTCCCAGGTGATGGGCACAGCATACAGTAAAAATAAAGATGCTCTTTTATCTCTTGGTAATCTGTATTTGTTAACAGGGATCTGTCCCAGCTACAAACTTATGAGGGCTGAGAAAAAAATTATCTTTTTTCTTCTCCTCAAAAGAAAATGGAGAAAATGGTGAGTGGCAATGGTGAGGACTAAACTCCAATCTCTGGCTCTCGCTCTCCCAGGTTCTAGCGAAGGGTTCTTGGGGAGGCATGCTCTATAAAGACTCATCAGATGCATTTTTATTAACCCTATATAATGAGACTTGTTTTCCAGCCTGAGTGTGGCATAATATCACACAACAGATAAAAAAGGAAATAAAAATGTTACATGGCCCTGCAAAGCCATCTCTTAGGGAAATTTGCATTTGTATAGAATTCTCTTTCTGGGGATCCATAGAGGAGCTAGATATTTGCTATCTTTTATCTCCAAGATTTGCCACCTATGAGACTTCATCTACATAACAAGAACTTCCCTTTCAGTGCTGTCTTAACTCAGAATTTCCTTTAATGATTTCAAAATTCCTTAGACCAAGCAAATCTTTGAATCCTCCTATAACCTGAAAGCTCCCACTTGGAGATGTCCCACTTCCCCAGGCCAAACAAATGTAAATCTCTCATGTATTTATTTATGACTTCTAACTTCTGTCTTCCTAAAATTTATATAATCAAGTTGCAATTCAACCAACTTGGATACATATTCTCAGGGCCTCTTGGGATGGTGTCATGGGGCTAAGGTCACTCACATTTGACTCAGAAACCATGTATTTTACAGAGTTGGGCATATGTTGCCAACAATGGACACAATAGTCTAGACTGTACCGAGAAGACAAATGCCAGTGGAGAAGGGCATGTTTCATGGATTGAGGTCTATGTGTAGGTATACATTTGAGGGTAAAATCCCAATAAGGCCTGTATCTGAGTTAATAGTATGATATAAATGTCAATTTCCTGGTTTGACAATGTTCCAAGATGATGCATGCTACTGATACTAGGTGAAGGTGGAGGAAAGGGACATGGAGCTCTTTCTACAGCTTTGGGGCTTATGATACATTTTAAACTATTTCAAAAAAGTTACCCTAAAATTTACAGTAGTGGCAGAATTTGAGCTTAAAATAAGCTGGAGAAAAGTATGTTAGGTTGGAATGTTGAATTTTTCGAAATCCTGATTCTACATTAACGCAGTTTCTGGTGAGGAAAAAAATCCAAGATATGACCGTGGAGTGGATGGCTGGTGGGGAAGATCAAGGACCAGGAAGGAGAGGAACCGAAAGCCTGTGTGTTAGAGATTCCCTCTGTGTAGTGTTCGGGTCAGGGAGATAACGGCAGGAGTTATCAAGGATTCACGAAAGTTGAGGAGCAGTCAGGAGGTGGGTGGGAGGGAACCCCAAGGAGGGTTGTGTCAGAAAGTGTAACCAGATGGCAGAGATGAGTAGGGGCAACAAGGACATGCCATCTATGTCCCCGACTTAAACTTCTAGAGGCAGAACAGACAAGTCTATAGTTGCAGGTGCTGCATTAAATTCTCAGGAGTAGCCATATTTCAGAATGACAAACTGGTAGAGGGAATAGCCTAAAAAAGGTTTGTGGCACAGAAGGACCTGCTGCTGAAACAATGGGAGACTTACTCGAGGGCACATGGAAAGGCAGAGAAGGAGGTTTGGGTTTTGGTCAGATGAGATGATGTCAAGTGCAGAAATTTCTCCATGGAACATAAAAGATACTCACCTCTATTTTATAAGGTTCCTGGTAAGCAAGGACTATGGAGGTTGTACTCTGGGGGCTGCAACATGTTATAGAGGGTTGGTTTATGAATACATTTTGTTAGCACTTCTCCTGCCCCAAAAAACTTCTCTGCACACCCTGAAAAGTAAATAAATAAAAACCGCCACAACTGTAACCAAAAGTTTATATAAACAATAAACATCCACTAATAATATATAA